TGAGGGGAAAAGAAACAAATGTGTATTTGTAGATATATGTTCACAAACCAGTCAGCACAGGAAAAAAAAAGAAAAAGAAAAAGAGAAAGAAAGAAAAAAGAAGAACATTCTCGATGCAAACTGAAGGGACCATCTCCACGGAGGGGTCCGCAAGTCCATGAGCTTGACGGTCTGTCTGGGCCCGCCATGTTCTTCTCCTCTTGGGCCACGTGCTGAGGGACAGCGGGGCTGTGGGTTGTCAACCCCTTCCTCTTTCCGCGTCCTTCACTGAGCTGCCACAGACGGCCACAGAAGCACCGGGTTAAAGATGGAGGGAGGTGAGCTCCCTTCACCTTCCGGACTCAATCCCCGGGCAGTCTTCTCCGTGCCCGTGCCCTGTGCTCTGCTAGCTGTACCCTAGGCCCCGTTAGGTACTTGCAGGGTCAGCTCCGCAGCGGCTGCTACAGCAAGGTCACCTCAGAGGCTCTGGCTCTGCCCCGTCCAGTCTGCTGTGCAGCTCTGGACCGGCTGAGTTCAGGCTGATTTTCGGATATCAGTTTTGTACTCCAGTTTTAATTTTTTTGAGATGGTTTTGGCTATGCTTCGTCCCTCGCAGTTCCACGTGAATTTTAGGGTAGGCTTTCCATTTCTACCAAAAGAGGCAGCTAATATTTTGATGGGAACTGTACTGAATGTGTGCATCAACTTGACAAGCATTATCTTAATACTAAATTTTGCAATTCATGAACTCAAGATCTTGATGTTATTTAGGTCTTCAATGTCTTTCTATGATGTTTTATAGTTTTCGGCATATAGGTCATGTTACAATAATAAAAAAAGCTGTTTCTAAGTATTTTATTCTTTCTGATGCTTTTGTAACGGGATTATCAAATTTGGGGGGCTTGGTCACTGCTAATGCACCGGATACAATGGACTTTTTACAGTGCCTCGTGGCTTGCATCCTGCTGAATTCCTGCATCAGCTCCAACGCCTTTTGGTAGATCCCTGCACCAGCCGGGCTCCTGCAGTGGGGAGAGCTTTCCTCCCCTTCCCCTCTGGACACTTTGCCAGAACACCCCAACTGGACTCACACCAGGCTGCAGTCAGCGGCAAGCACGGCGCCCTGGTCTGCTCCTGAGCCCAGGGAACTGCTTCCTACCTGAGATCTGGACATCTTTATGCTCTGAGGGAAGGAAATCAGAAGGGCATGGGATTAAGGGCATGTGCAAGAGAGGGAGTCACAGGCAGGCAGGACCTCAGGAAGGCGGGCAGGACCTCAGGAAGGCGGGGAGAACCTAGGGAGGTGGG